TTATATGTCAAATATGATTTTTATGCTGAAATATGTTCAAATTTAGCATTAACTCACTTTTGATTTTTTCGGCTGTTCCCCCCCTTTCTATTGCAAAGGCCCCATATGGTGGTAAATGATATGAATATCAGGAAGAATTTAAAAGAATAGCTAGAATATAAAATAGATATCCAACACAAGAAACAAATAGATTATATGACGATATTTAGATTATATTATTCAGATTATATGATGGTAGTTAGATTATATCTTTTAGATTATATGGTAATATTCAGATTGTATGGTGATATTTAGATTATGTAGTGGTATTCAGATTATATAGTGATATTCAGATTGTATAGTGGTATTCAGATCATATGGTGGTAATATAATCTAGGGTTAGTGGTATACCACCATGTAATATAATTATATTACATGATAGTATATTACTATTGGTAATTAGGTTATATATTCAGATTAAAGTGTAGTAATTAGGTCATAATTATTAGACAAAAGCATGATATTTAGATCATAACATGATATCATAACCTAGTCTAAGTGAAATATCACGCTTTAACATAATTATGTTAAAGTGTGGTATCCTACTTTAGTAATAAAGTTTTAACATTATTTTAGATTTTAATGATTACTATTAAAACTAAATAGTTAAAAACTATAATAAATCTTTTAAAATTGAATATAAGTTTTGACTTATATTATACCAATTATACAATTTGCTACATTTGTTTAAATAAATTTGATATATACTAAAACTGACTCAAGTTCAATCTTAAAACCTGTTTTAGAACTAATTTAAGAACTTATTAATATTAATAAATTTAAAAAAATTTATGAAAGTAAATCAAAATGAGTTTATAGTAATAAGTAGTAGGTTATGTGTTTAAATCCTTTAAAAATTTAAGATAATTAATATAAATTTAATATTTCATTTAAACATATAAAAAGCTTTGATTTAAAAATATAAACCGATAAATAATCTACTACGTACTTAATTGAAATAAATAAACTTATGCATATGCTTATAATATCTTTATAGGTATAAAAATCAACCAAGAAAATTTATTATTTAATTTAATATTATGATAATATAAATATTATTTCTGCGTTAATTATACGATGAAAAATTTGGCATCATATTTATTTAATCACCAAAAAAAAAACCAAATTAACTAAAATTTAATAAATTTAATACAAAACGTGCGATTTGTTGAATTTGACACGGAATTTTTTGATTGGTCTACAACATTACAACGTTCGGGTTTTCAAATCAAAAATTATTATTGGTGGTGATTTGTTATCAAAAATCCTCCAATTAAAGTTTAAAATTGATAGAAATCATGTTTTCATGATTTGTTTTTTTTTTTGGTAAGCTCTTTGCAGGATATAATTTTTTCCAGATCCTACCGAATCTTAGGGTAAAAAACCCAAGCATAATTTCAATGGGGGACGAATATCAATAAAGAAGCCTTCATGAGGGACGAAATATCAATAAAGAAGCCCTTCAATTAAATTTTCATCGTGTTCGCAACCACGGCTTTATGGGGAGAAAATAAAAAAAATAAAAATAAACAGATATCGATTGGATCCTTTGATCTGGATAGATTTTATGAATTTGGCGTTGCTGCACTTATAATTATTTTATTTTTTTTTTTTGCATCGCGAACCAATAGATTCGAAACAAATCAAATCAGAATTAATTAGAACACTTTCAGGTTAACAAATCAGTCCTTCCCCCAAAAAAACCTATTTCCATTAAACCATAACCATACCAACTATGAATGGTAAGGATTTATGAACAAAACAAAAAATTTTCTTTTGTGTTATGCGATTATTAGGTAAGGTTCAATAAAACAGTAAATTTTTTATGAAAAAGGCAAGTTGTTATTACTACAGTACTATCACAACTTTAAATTTCCCATATTAATTATATTGATTTACTCCGATCTCACATCCGAAAAAAAAAAGTTCAACCAATCAAAAACGATTCATCCAAAATTAGCAAACAAGAGAAAGAATATCGGAGAAACGGAATGTGTGAAAAAAAATATTTCATTAAAACAGTTTTTTTTTTAAAAAAAAAAAAATCGGAAGGGATGATCCGAATTTATTTGCTTCATTGGGTCAGATAATTCGTTTAATAATAATACAAGGATCATTGCTAATAATTTGAAACAATTTTTTATTATGAAACCGTTTTAAAACAATTTAATTATATGCTGCGCAGCATTTTCATTGTTTTGTTTTCTTGTGAATGATAGTTGATACAAAATTAAATGCGATTTTTTTTATATTATGATTTTATTTGAAAAAATTTACAAAAAATATTAAAACTAAATTAAATGATTAAAGATTATTATGTACACCTCGTAAATAAGAAAATCGTATTGAATGTTATGTTAAATGACCCTTTGAAGAAACTGGTCACGATATATGAGTTTCTTCATTCTTGGTAAAATGTTCATTATCTGTATTATCTTTTGTAACAGAAGAGTTAGAATTGTCACAAGTCAATACTTCAAAGGTTTCTGAAACCTCCGTATTTGTATCAACTTTAATTATAAATTCAACATTTGTGTTATTAATTTGAGTAAGTTCATGGAGTTGGGTTGATGTTGTAGGTTCAGGAGAGGTATTAATAAAGGAAGAACCCGTTGAAGTACGTTTTGTGGGTGGAACATAAGGATCTTTCCAACCTTCATTGATTATGAATTGAATCATATTTCCTATTCCACCCATATTCACCGAAGCGTCTTTGAATCAAAATGGGAATTCATTTTAGTATATAAAAAAAAAAAAAGATATGACAAAGAACCTTTAGAAGGGATTAAAAGAACTTTGTTTACCTGTTACCAAATAAACCCACAAAGGATCATAATCAATAATTTGACCAAAAACGTAAGTCATCGGAGGGGTCCATTGAAAAATAAATATTAAAACATAACCAATGATTTTCCTAACGACTATCGGTTCAATCTTTTTCACGTTGTTTGATACATTATCGTTATTTTTATCATTACCATCGTTGTTCCCTTCAACATTGTTTCTATTCAAAGCAAAGTTTCTATTAAGATTACTATTACTGTTATCATTACTATATCCAAATCCTTCCCTTTCCCTTTCCTTTTCCCTTTCCTTTTCCCTATTATAATCATTAATGAAACTAATGGAATTGATTTCTCTAAGAGTGAGTGAGTAAGAGATTAAAGTTACGGTCAAGGCTCCGAAATTTAATACCAGGGTAATGACGGGTAAAACATTACTTGTCTTGTTGGTATAGCACCAATATTTCCCCGACCCATATGATGGCAAACCAATCGATGTATAAACAAAACCACTAAATAAAATGAATAGAATAGCCTTATAATCGTATTTGCCCAAATCAATATACATTTTACGACATATACGTAAATACGTTAAAAATGCCAATAAACCGACCAATGTTATATTTGTTGATATCGTAAAAAATGTTATCCCTCCTATTATTTTACAATTTGAATCGGACCATGGAACACCATATATTATTGGAAACAACTATCGAAAGAAGGAAAAGGAAAAAAAAAATACAAGGTAAACGAAGGAACATTTTTTATTTCGTTGCGTGACAAAAAAAATTCGCTCGTTCACTTACCATATTGGGAAAATTTATTGAAAATATCATGAAATCTAAGAGTAAAGATTGAAAAAAATGGTTAAAATCTTCCCTTTAATAAAGTAACAACTCCCTTTGATGTGTACCTGATAGGGCGATGTAAAACGGAACCCTAAGAGCCATAGGAAGACTCTTCTTTGAAATAATCCATCGAGTTAATGTTCTGCAAAGTACATATAAAGTACAGAATCCATTCAAAATTATCATTACCATACCAAAGTTTACAACTATGTTAAATTCTTTGTTTGAAAATGATGATGGCAATGATTGATTTTCCATCCTTTTACTTTGAGGATTATTAATAGGAGAAAAAATTTACGAAGGAAGAAGAGGCGTTTGAAAAATTCAACGCGATCTTTATCTATTAAAATATTAAAAAATTTAATCATTTATTTTTCAACAAAGTAAGGTAACGTATTGTAATGAACCTTTATATAAGAAAACGCGCATATATATTCGATGGAACAAATACTGTGATTAATTTACCATAAAAGTATAATAATAGTAGATCTTAATGTTATAATACAAAAATAAAATCTCATTTTTGGTATAGCATTTTTAGCACCTGATATTTTACAATGTTTACCTTTTTCTTGTTTGGTAAGTTTGGTAATCTTTATTTTATAAATTAAAATTAAAAAATTGTATATAGAATAAAGGAAGAAAAAGAAGAAATGAAATTCCAAATGAAATTAACCCATTTTATTAAAAATAAAAAAAGTGTCAACAATTTCATTGGTTTACGCATGTTTCAAAAATTGTCTTTTTTACATTGCTTTACACAATCCAATATCATAATGCACACGTTGTCATGCAAACAATCGTTATGATTAGTGAATTTATGCTAGAAGTAATTCTAATCCTTACACAAGTCATAAACAAACAAACCAAACTTTGTTCGGCTTATGTCTTACCTGGTAATTCGGATTGCCGGAGATACGCTATTAATATCATTATTGTATGGTATCGACGTTAAAAATAAAGTGTTTTTAATGAACCCTGAGTGTTACAAGCAAGGTTACATCATAGCTTACACAATAGATCTACAACATAATCCAAAAAAAAATTTACTTTACAAGCAACGAAATGGACATTCAAAGAGACAAAGCCAACTTCATGCAATTCAATTCGACCTAAATTGGGAATAAATGCTCATCTCAGTTATTCCATACTCGTGTGATGACCGGACCAGATAGTGATGACAATAATAATTTTTAAGAAATTTATAATATTTAGAGATTTTAAATTGTCCAATTCAAAACTTTATCACAATTATTACTATTATTAGTTTAAACATTACGTAAATGAAGGCTTTTCCGAGTCGTGAAAAAAAGTAATAATTTTTTGTCTGTGCCCGAAATTCCCTTTCTTTTGGATGAATGAAAAATTCTTTGATTCAAATTGTACGTCATTTGTTGAATCTAAAATTTATTGCACAACCTTTTATTTAATGTTGACAATTGACAAGTACAATATGAAAATAAAAAAAATTTATTCTTTGTCATTGTCCCAACATGACAATCTTTATTATGTTCTTTCTTATTCTCTTAAACATTTCGAAGTTTGGCCTAAATAAATAATAATTCTTAAGGATACAATCGAGAAACCATGAATTCGTCTTCTAAGTTTAGCAATAGGTAAATAAAGTTCTGACAAATACAAATGTCTAATTAAAGGATAGAACAATTCTAGTACCATGTAAAGATGAAAGTGTGAATTAAAAAAAATCGAATTTTGCGACTAAGTTCTTAAGTGATATTTTACTAAATGAACATATTATCTTTTTATAATCGAATTACAAAATTCCATAATAATATTTTATTTAATACAAGTTTTGCATAAGGTTGATAGTCCCATACGTTATTGTTTTAAATTTGAAGAACATAAGGAAGTAAAGCTACGTTGAAATAATAGTTCATTTTTTAATTATTACGAGCGTTTTGTGGAAATTTTCTGGATTTATGTGACCAATATGAAAAATTAACATTCCTTTAAATTATATTTTCGTATTTTTTATTCAAATTGTTAAAGATTGTCGTCACTAAATTAATCCTATCACAATGATTTCTCTCCGAAAATTTATCATATCTTCCAACCTTTTAACGTAATGATTTATAACTTGATTTTATTTTTTTATTTTTATATTAAAATTATTTATATTGAATTACGAGCAATAAAGTTTCCAGCATTATTTAAAACTTTCATGCAACACAACACCATTTGTTTTATTGTGAACTTAATAATCGCAAATATAACTCAACAAGATGAAATTTATAAGGCGAGTCAATGGAAAATTATTCAGTTTAGCAGTAGGCAATTATTTTTAAAGAAATTTAAACACACTTAAAAAAATTAAATAAATTAACTAATGAATTGTCACATTATCACGTGACAGGTCATCAGAAAATTTTGTTATTTATTAACGTTAAAATCAAAATCAAATAGGTTTCATATTACGTAATGTATTTCGGTGAAAGATAATGAAGACAACCGTTGATGCTGCGATTTTAAATTCGTGTCTTTCAATGTGGATAAGATACCTAATTAATCTTAATATTATTTATGATCACGTAAGGCAAATATTGTGTACTGCGCGAAGTTTTAACGTAGAGAAAAAGAATTATAAATAAATACATAAGTGCAAAGAAATAATAATAAAAAAACTATTAGCGATCCATCCACCACAAATAAATAATAAATTTTTTAAGAAGCACTCTCGCGGATAAGACATATAATAGAAAATACATATTACGAGAAAAAAATTTAATTTATTTAATCGATCCGCTATCTTGAAATCTGATTCTCTTTTTGACTACGGGATTTTATGTAGGTCCGATCGTTTCGTACCATGAACGTTAATTGCTTTGAATCACAAACCAGATTTTTTTGCAGTAGAAAGAGAATAAACTCTAAAAAAAAACTTATGCTCATAAAAATGATAAATATATCATCAACATTCAATCAAATCCTTAGGCAATACTAAAAAAAGAACGGCTGGCGTACTTGAATGAATATGATAGTATGTTGACATAGTATGATTTTGTATTTTTTGTTAATATTACGGAGATTTAATCAATAAATCAAGGAGAGACTAGTCATGCTACACTAAATATATCCTATGAAAAATGTCGTCACATGTTATCAATACATTATATTAATAGATTTACATAAAAAATTACAAAATTAGAGAATAATTAAATTCTATATATCTAATATTTAAGTTAAGCATTTTCATTTTTATAAAGACGTTCAATTTCAGCATTAAGAGCCCACACCCATTCTTCACATTCAACTCTACTTCTAGCTCTAAAAACCCAAAAATTTCCTCGAGTATTAAATTGAATTCTTTGGTTCATTTGGATTTTCATCCCATCATTATCAAAATAATACTTCCTTTTACTTTTCCAAATAACAAAACTTGTATCTTTATAATTATCATAAGATACCATACCATCACCATAAATTTTGGCAAATTGACCATTATTATATGATTTAGCGATACTTCGCTCTTGTGATCGATTTGAATCATAATATTCATGTTCAGTTATTTCTCCTGAATATACATAACAATCTCTCAAATTTATGCACCCTTTATGTTTGTGGTAACTTCTCTTTGACGTATATCTTGATAAGGTAGAACGCGTGTTACGATTAAAGTAAATAAGGTAGCCATGCGTTAGAACATGATGATGAAGGTCAAATTGTTGCACGATATGTGTTTTATTATATAACCACCCAGCTTTCTGAAAGGAAAATAAAGGTTTTTGAGTAATTTTTATAAAATAATAATCTTATAATTTGTTTCGTCGTACTTACAATTATTCCACGACATCTATCTAATACACACCAGTTCCATAATATTGGATTAGCATAACTTCTAGAATTCCTCCAATGATATAATTCTTCATCAGCTGTGTCATGATATTTTGATTGATTTGTTTTAATAATTTCGACTCTTATTCTCACATCTCGCGATACTCTAGCCTTCCAATATTTAATAAGTTCATTTAGATGATTTATCCATTCTTCTCGTGTTTGCCTTGAGTATGACTAGAAATAAATTAATGCATAAATATATATATTTTATTGATTTACGTAGTATTAAAATATTAATTATTTTCCTACCTTTAGAGTAATAATTTTACCGTTTTTCTTTATCAATTGAAAAGGGCTTCCTTCTCCTTCATTAACTTCATCCGCTTCTAGACCTTCTTCTAAATATTTAATTTCAACAATTTCGGTTAAATCAATAAATCCTTTCGCACATAAAATCTGATTAACCCTTCTGTTCATATCAGAATTCATAGAAGGTGAAATTTCATAAATTAATGGATAATGTTGTGTATTATCACATAATTGAATGCCATTATTATCACTTGTATCAATAGCGGTCATAGTGGACACATTTGGAGGTGGAGGTGGACTTGCATTGAATTGATTCATAAAGAACAGATAATTATTTTGTGAAGCAAAATATAATCTTTTTGATTTTATGGTTTGTCCTCTATCATTTGTTATTTTGATCAAGTATCCTTCAATTGATGGTGGTTCCTAAATTTAAAATTACAATATTATTAGATTTATAAAAGAAAAAATTTCAGCGATTTTTTACATAAACATAATTACGGTTAATATTGTTCCATCTTTGAATTTAACTGATGTAGGATAATGCTCAATTGGTCTTAATTGCAACTGATGAGTCTAATGTATTAGAACTTAAATATTAGTAGAAATATTTTTTTAAAAATCAAATAATCTTGCATAAAATACCTGCTCTATAAATTGAGGACTTTTCAACAAATCATTCAAAACATCTTTTTCATCAATCCATTCCAACCTTTCAAACCTCTTCCAACATAACCTTAATTCTTTAGATTTTTTCCACTTATCTAATACATCATTCTGTTCAGTAAGGTAATTTAATTCATTTAAAACGATATTCATTACTTTCTCAGCATTCATACTCGATAATGAAAAGTTTTCATCATCATCATTTTGATAAATAGGAATTTGTAATTTAACATCCAAATCTGGTATGGTGACTCCAAGTAAAGGAGGTATTGGTTTATTAATTGATTCAGAAAGTTGATCATATAATGCTTGATACCATTGAACACACAAAGATATTGTTTTGGGATTAAATATAAAATTCTTAACATAATGTTTCATTGGTTGAGATAATAATATCGTATAATCTGATGATGAAAATAATGAAAATTTTGTTTTGGAAGTGAATGGAATGCTTTCTAATATTTTGTCCTAAAAGTGAATAAAATAAAAATTAAATAAGGATTGAAAAAATATTTTTTTTTCGATTTAAAGGAAATTTTTTTTTGGTTTTACCTCATTTTTATATAATTCAATCACACCTGGTTTTAACTTTACCATGAATTCTTTCCATTTGGAAATCTGAAAAAAGTCATGAATAAAACTTCTCTTTTTATATAATAGTGGATGTTCTTTAAATTCTTCATAACCAATTCTTACTAACATTTGATCCTGTCTTATGATAGTATTTGGTTGATAATTTGCGGAAGCAGTTGTACTTGAAAATTTAACATGCTTCGAGTTTTGATTCATATCGTTATTTTCCTGTTCAAATTGTCCTTCATCAAGATTACAAGAACATTCTGAATCTAGGTAATTTTCATCATCATCCATTTTTTTATCGTCCCTAGGTTTATTTTCATCTTCAATTACAATTGGTGATGATAAAGTATGTGATGTCCTATCCTCAACGGAATTTTTAGGCAAAGATTGCTCAATTTTTTCATTAGGTAATGGAAAATAAGATTGTTGTGGAGTAATCGGATTTGAATTTAAATTATAAGCTGGAGTATAATATGCAGAGGAGGGACTTTCAGTAATGTTACTAGAATTTTGAAATTGTAGCCTTTGTGGTTCAGAGATCAAGTGTTGCGAATCAGCGATTGCAATCAAACTTCTAAAAAAAAAGAGCAATTTAAAAATCTTACTCTTAAAGTTAAAAATTTTTTTTTTATTATCAATACCTTTGAATTTTTGAGGAACTAGCAGCATCTCTTGAGTCAGTAGATGTTATTTGTGTTTCACCACCTTTAATAATATTCCTACTCTGTTGACTAGATCGTTTTTTGACGACTTGAGATTTAGAATCATTACTCTTTATGAAAAAGTATGAGGTTTTCTTATGTGGCCAATTAGAGGCTGTTGGACCTATAAATGTTCTTCGAGTTGCGGAGTGTAAATGAGTTGACATTGAAGTGGATGATTTTGTGTCAGTGAATGAATTGGATAAAGAGAGCGTGGGGGAGTTTTGGTGGGTAAAGGAAGAATTCGATGGGTTGATTATGTTAGAAGAGGATTCCATTCTCTAACTTATTGCATTGAATAAAGAAAGTTTTTTTTTTTGAAAGATTATTATTATTATTTTTTTTTTTTAATAAAAAAAAAAATAATATCGTTAGGGAAAATGACTTTTTTTTAACTAAACATAACATTATGTAATGATTGCCACATGTAGATGTCGATCGATCATCTGATCGGCAAAATTTTAATATGATTTTCGTCTCTTTTTTTGATTGTCTTGTGTAACATTTCTAATCAAATTTTATAGTCGAAAAGTACTAAAAACCAAGGGTAAGAAATCTTATAAAACACTTCCGACCTTCAAACAAAGAGAAAACTTCACGTATGTCTACCATTCCATTATCGACTTCATCAACCACACCCGAAGCCATATTATGTTCTGATGATCCAACAAGCGACAGTTATATTCTTGAAATCATGGCCTATTTCATTAGTCGCGGCTTTCAACCAAGCCTCGTCAGGTCCTTTCTAGAGAGAAATTGTCATCTTGATCTCAAGACAAACGAGCATCTCATGTTTGACTTTCTCGAAGAACG